CTCGCTTCCTTAGACCCGTGTTTCCTTAGACTCTTTTATCCTTAGACCCTTGTTTCCTTAGACCCTTGTTTCCTTAGGCCCTCGCTTCCTTAGACTCAAGCTTCCTTAGACCCTTGTTTCCTTAGACTCAAGCTTCCTTAGACCCTTGTTTCCTTAGGCCCTCGCCTCCTTAGACCCGTGTTTCCTTATCCCATTGCGTACGCAGCTGTCTCTGCTGAAGATGTGAGCTGGTTGAAAAGCTTCTTGGAAGCTTTATTGATGTTTGAGAAGATGAAACCTGGAGGAGGATAAACCTCACATCTACAAATCATCAAGTCTGGATGTTTCCATCCTCTCTAGATGATGATGATGATGATGATGATGATGATGACGCGTTGGTTGCTGGAGCTTAATTAAACTGCAGCTGTTCCAGATGCTGCTGCTCGTTAACAGGATCTTCACCAGGAACTGGTTCTCCTCAGGAACCTCAAAGAACCTAAAAGTTCTGCTTCCTTCTGTCTCCGTCTTCACCGACCTCCCTGAAAGGTCAGAGGTCATCTCCTGGTTCTTATCTGGAACATCAGCAAACTTCAAACAGAAACCAGAGTTCTGCTGCAGCGAGACCTGAGCAGGTCCAGAACCGATGGATGCATTGTGGTTTAGAACCCAAATGGGTCGGATCAGACGCCAAGAGCTCCATTTGGTCCACTTTAGTCCAGACACAACCAACAGAACCAGGTCTGGAGCTGCAGCAGGACAGAACCTCTGCATGTTTCAGGATGGATTCACAGCCTGCAGGGCTCCAGAACCAAGCAGAGGTCAGAACTGAGGTCCAAATGACCACAGAGGGATGGAAGACGACGTCCTCTAGGACCGCCTTTGACATCTTCTCTGAATGTGAACCCATGGGAGGTTCTGTCTTTCCCTGAAAGAACCCAGTGGGTTTATCAGACTGGATCGGAGGTCCACTGGACCAGAACCTCAGCCTGATCTGCTTCATTTCAACCCAACACTGCAGCAACTATGACGTCTGTCCAAAACATGCAGTTTCCATGGCAACGCCTGGGGGAGGGGTGTCCTGTAGGAGGATGGGGAGCCTACCTGTCTCCGTGGAAACCATCTCCTTGTTGCTCATGGCGACGGGTCCATACAGGATGGGTCTCAGAGGACGGAGGTCCAGCGGAACTGTCCCCCTGAGGACAGAGACAGAGATCTGCTGCAGAGACACCTCCTCAGTGGAGCACAGTTGCCTAGCAACGACCACATTTGGATCCACTTTACATGAACAGTGTGTGTGTGTGTGTGTGTGTGTGTGTGACTTATGTAACGGGTGGAAACTGAGAGTAAAAGCCAGTCCGACTGGAACCGGTTTCAATCTCCGGTTAAAGGCATC